AGGAAGAGTAGCCGTCTATTTAGTCATGTAACATAAGTAATTCTAGTTTGGATTTTCTTGATGTTTTGGGATAGACATTCTTCACATAGGTGAGGAACCTGTTCTTTCATTATTTTTAATGAACAGGTATTTCTCCCCAGATACAGTGCTTCCAGCTGAGCACAGTTGTGCAGCAGCGCTTGTGGCATTTGGGGCCAGGAACAGAAGACCTGCGCTGAAGCTGCACTTGTGGTCCAGCAGTCTGCTCAGCTGGTCAGCTGCGTGCCACTGACTCATCGTCCTTTGACCGTGAGGCTCCTCCATCTGTACATTAAGGACAGTTAACCTAGCTTAATTGATTTTTGAAGACAATAAATACAAAGTTCTTTTTTTTAAAGTTAAAACTTCAAATGATTTTTAAAAAAAATTCCAAGAGTGATTAGCTCAGGTTAAAGTGATTTAGTAGAATTTGTCACTTTGTCACACTTACATTTATTCTAATATAGTATTCATGATATAGTCAGCCACCATCAATTCAGCTTTAAACCTGACAGGTTTAATTGCTACTTTGGTAGATGTTGATGGTTTTGTTACTAATCAAATCATTCTAAATGATACAAATGATTTTAAAACTACCTCAGAGGCTTTTTAAGAACCACATTTTTATTTATTTTTTAAATTTTATGTTACTAATATTTTTGAGACTGAGTCTCAGCTGACCTTGAACTTGCCTTGAGCCTGGCCCAGGCTGGCTTCAAATTTGAGATCTTCCTGCATTTTCCTGCATCAGCGTCATTATTGCTAGGATTATAGGTGTGGGCTATCAAGTGTAGCCGGTATTATAATCTTAAAATGAAGACAAATAAAAAGATCCAGCACATTCTTTTGTCTTCTTTTGGTAGATGTAATTTTAAAATTCTAGTTGGGAAAAAAAAAGTTTTTTGCTTACATGCAAATTATGTATTTTAAGAGTTACACAGGCCAAAAAAAAAAAGGTAAAGTACCCTTGAAGATTTATAGTACAGTTGATCTCAACTTTTTACCTTTGTTCCTTTTGTAGTTTTTAGGAAAGATTCATTTTTCATTTTCCTTCTTTCATTGATTTTTTTTAATTTATGAGATCTCAAATTGATGGTGAATTAGCAGTATTGTTCCTAATTATAAATGAGGAACTTTCTAGACAGTCCCCTCCCATTAAGTCAGAATTCAGTGCTTCACCTGCACTTTCTGATCCTTTTACAACATTCCTACCACAGTATTTGTCACATCATTGTAGTCTTTTTCTCTAGACAGCAGCCTTTATTCATGTTTATATCCCCAGTCTTTAGCACATAATAAACTATGTAATAAAAGTACAGTACTTTTTGAAATCAAGGACTGAATGCAAAGAGTATTGAGACTCTAGTTAGGGTAAGTCCTGTGAAACAATTGGAGTGATGATTAACACCTGAAAGGGTTAGAGAGCGGAAAGTTGTAAACAGAAGACTTTTCAGATTGAGGGGAAAAAACCCTAAATGAGACGGCAGAACTTATTTTCAGGTCAATAGGTCTGGTCACTTGCATTGAGAAATTCTAAGTGGGGAGATAGATAGTCTGGAGCTGAATGACAGAGAACAGTACCAGCCCGAGAGTGAATTCTTCTTTGTAATTGGGAAGTGGTGAGTGGTAGTAACAGCAGCGTCTGCATGCTGCAGAAGTTGGCCTTGAATTTACACTCCTATGCCTATCTAGCATCTTATCAGCCCTTCTAGAAAGCTTATAGGTAAACATCGGCACTTTCACTGGCACATCTGGTGATTCACTGTTCTTGGTGGACACCTCTATGTGGGGGTCCCCTTTACCTGGAGTCCTGCACCCCACTGTAGTGTTTCCAGTGCCCAGCTTTCAGTTCTAGCTCAAGTGTCACCCCTTCTGAAAGGGCCAGAGGGAAGTGATCTTCCAGGGGTTGGGTCTCGCCTCTCCTTTCTTGTAATTTCCCATCACGTCAGTAGCTATCTCTTACTCCCTGCTAGACTGTGAACAGTGCCTGCTGTGGTGCGCTGCACATACCAGAGTTAAATAAACGGGACTTCTCACTTCCTTTTTTTGCAAAAAGAGATTTTTAGGAAAGTTTTTATGTGAAGCTAATGAAGATGAAAGTGTTGTTAAAAAAATAAAATGGTAGGATCTTAAAAGAAATTAGAAAGCAAGGAAGAACCAACATTAGGAAAGGGGTAAAAAGGTGAAACACGGATTTCTTTGGGTTATCTTCTGTGAATGTCCTATTTTAGCAGCTGAGTGACCCATTTTATGCTATGAAAAATGGAGTCCTGTGGGCGTATTTGAATTTGTCAGTGATTAGTGATAGTGTAGTTTGGGACTGCTATAATCTTTTTTGACACTGAAATTTAAATGTCTCAGATTTCCTATTGTACAGTATTTGAGAACTGTAGCTTTTAGCTTTTGAATTTTTGTAGCAAAATTCTTAATTGTGAAGACAAAGACATTAAACTAGGGGAGAGGCACAAGGCTGAGATTAAAAAGATCTTGGGAGTAATTTGTGCCTCTTTGAAAGGTCGGGTGAATATTTGTATTCTACTTACCAGACTGTTGAAGCTGACTCTCAGATCAGTGTTGACTTTTAAATGATGAGATGGGTAATTTTTTTTTTTTTATGAATTTGACAGTTGGTGAGCATACTTTCAAAGCACAGCTTAAATTCTTTTTCCTGTGGATAAAAATTAGTTACTTGTCCAAAGGCAAGTAAATATTTACCCTTTTGCTAGCTATGGCAATAGCACAGCCATTTTAATTTTTTTGCACTGTGTACCATAAGCTAAAGATGTGTATATTTTGTTATTTACATAGCTTTTAGGCAAAGCAAATACCATTTAATGGAGTGATAAATATGTAGAAAGCTTATTCTGCAGTTTTTAACAAGATAAACTACTATCTGAAGTTTACCTGGTAAATCATCTTCTGTAAATAATTGCTGTGTTATTACCCACTCACTGATTTTTTTTTTTTTTTTTTGGACACCTGGCTCAATTTTTCTTTAAAAATTGGGTCAACAGTGTTACTAAGCTCGGCTCACTGGTATCAGATCAGAGTAAGACCCAGATAACTTGTTTGTACCTTGTGAAAGTAACAGTAAGTTAGAGGACCAGTGTACTGTAGGCGTAGTTTGGACTCTGGATTTAGATTTGTCCCTCCCGACTTTGGGAAGTTTTCTAACCTGCCTGAGCTGCTGATTGCCTGTCTTTGAAATGGAAATAAAATTATTCACTTTATTAAGTTTAACATACAGGAGCTGGACTGGATTTGTGTAATAAATAGTATGTCTGTTATAAGCTGATTGGAGGATCTTAAAGATGAATTAGAAATAAAAGAGAAAGGTGAGAAATATGGGTTTATATAGTCACATATTTGAAAAAGCTGGAAGTTGGTAAATGTAAATATCAATGCCAGTATTGGGGTTTTTTTAGGAGAAATTATATATGCATGTGTGTGTGAGCATACATGCTTTATGAGCCAACCCTGTATCCCGTTATCTTTGAAGACAAATGCATGGCCCACTAATAGTAGTTTGAGAAGTGCTTGTGTTAGAAAATATTTACATACGGCATTATTAATGTGTGGAGCTCTTATATAATTTTTAAATAATCCAGGAAATTTTTAGGTATCTAGAAAATCTCTTCAAAAACACACTATTAAACAGACTTACACTTGTGACTTTTAAACAAAAGCAGTATACATAATTTCCCAATGAAATTTGCTGGTATACCTATGAGTAGCCCAGAATTGATTGTATTAATTTGAAAATTTAAGAAAACATGGTATTCTCTCAATCCTTTTTTTCTTAAAATATAGGTCTAGTCCTTTCTTGAATGTTTCATATATTTCTACATGTATACATCCAAATAATGCATGCTTACTGTTCTCTTAGACATTTAAAAAAATAACAATACATGAGATTGGTGTACTTTAGACCTATTATCCTTATAATATTACTGTGAGATTTTTGATGGTTGTTGGTGTTCAGAGTAATGAAATAGTTTCCCATTTTTGAGCCAAGAAGAGTCATTACTAAGGTATATTAGATTTATTTTTCCTTAAAGCTTTATAGGAAATAAGAAAAATTGCTTTGCTGTTTAAAAGTTTGGTTAGTCTTAGCATTTTACGCAAGTTTAAGATTTTAGTGGTGACATATCTGCAATCCTACCACTCAGGAAGCTGAGGCAGGAAGATTGTCATGAATTCAAGGCCAGCCTGAACTACAGGTGAGACATTGTCTCAAAAGTAAAAATAAAAAAAGGATTTTAATGGTAGAATTTTTGTTCTGAGACTCTCATGTGATTGGTGGAATTGCTCTATATATGTAAAACACACTGCTTTAGGAAAACAGCTGCAGCTGTCGTCAGTTGGAGTACTCACTCTGCCGGGAATGTCCAAAAGATATTGAATATAGTGAGTCAACTGATACTTTAGTTGATATGGGCACTGTTATCCCCTTTCTCAGATGAGGAAACTGAGTCACAGAAAAGTTAACTTAAGGCTACACAGTTAGTGTTAGCCAAACGTCAACAATTTGTGTATTTGATTTTTGTGTGTGTGTGTGTTTTAACTGATGTCCAGTAATTACTGTCGCTCCCAGATTTTATAATCAGTTACACTATTTGAATAATACATAGATATAGTTATCATATCACAAGAAAATACTGTATAAATCCCAGTAACCAAAATTGGCTCCTACCTGGACACTTACTGAATTTTGTACTAAGTGTAATAGTTCTGTGTAGCAAGTGTCTTTAACAGATGCTTAGTGTTAACATACTAGAGTTTGTGATGAAAATTTTGTAGCCTGGGATTAAAATCGTCTGTGTTAATGAAACATTATTTAGTTGTTTTCAACATGGTTTGCGGCTTTTAGTACATTGGTGATGGCTGTGGTCCAGCTCATAGATTATTTAACAGTGGGTTGAGTTAGCGGCCATTGGAATGTACTTACAAGGATTAATTTTGTATTTTTTCCTCTCCTCTAGTAAAATAAAACAGGGTCTGTTGCCTAGCTTGGAAGATTTGCTGTTTTATACCATTGCAGAAGGACAAGAAAAAATACCTGTTCATAAATTTATTACAGTAAGTTTTGTATTTTCCTAACTTAACTCTTAAGAAGTTAGTTCTACTAAATCAGTAGTATTGTCAAAATGTAGTCTTAAAAGTTATCTGACATGTAGATTCTGACTGACACTGTGTTTTCAGAATTTTATCATGCTCATTTCAAGGTAAACAGTGAAAGAAACAGGGTGCAGCGTACCCCAGAAAGTGGGTCATAGAGACACAATGCCACATGTTCAGGTTTCGGGTAGAAGTGTTTATATACAGGAATGAAAACTTGTAGTTGGAATAAGCATATACATTATTTGCACTATATATTTACAGACTCTTATTTTTTTAAAAACAGGCACTCAAATCTACAGGATTGCGAACGTCTGACCCCAGGTTGAAAGAGTGTATGGATATGTTAAGATTAACTCTTCAAACAACGTCAGATGGTGTCACGCTAGACAAAGATCTTTTTAAAAAGTAAAAAATTTCTGCCAAACCTTTAATGGTGATTTGCTCTGCTATATGATGATTTGCTTTTAAAACAAAATTGCATCTTTGAAGCCCAGTGCTTCCTATGTAAATGAAAAAAGGGATTTAAAGCATCATTTGAATAACGATGATGTACTTCAATGATGATACACACTGACTTAAGCGTGCTTTAAATCTGTTATAAGGAAATTTAGCTCTGGATGTTTCTCAAGTTTCTCTTACCCAGAAATTGCATTGGGTTTGAATAGAGCAGATCTTTTGTTCTGAGCACACCTTTGTTCTGTCCTTGCTTTTATTGATCTCCAGTCTGCCTGTCTTTCAGGCCTTCTCAGCAGTGTCACCTTTCTCTCAGGTGATTTGAATGACATGTGAGTGGACCAAGGCAGCCCTGTGTCCCTTAGATTTGCATTTGTGCATTGTCCCCTTCTCTCCACTCCCCAGACATATTAATGCCTAGGTTCTGGGCTATTTTCATTTCTCTTAGAGCAGTTTTGAACTGAAGAGAACCTTAGAGAATAAAAAGGCTTCATTTGTTTGAAAAAGGGATGTTTTGACTTCCTTATATTTATGTATCTGTTTACCATTTATCTTCATTATTGTGTTCCAATTAGCTTGATTAATTAAAAATATGGATGACATGTTTGTAATGGAACTCAAAAGACTCAAGTAGGTGTTTTGTTTTCTATGGTAGTAGGGGGTGGATCCAGGGCCCTCTTACTGATCTGTATCCCCAGCCTTCTTTTTAATTTTGAGACAGTCTTGCTGATTTGTCCAGGCTGGGCTTGAATTAGTGATCCTCCTGCGTTAGCCTCCCAGAGTGCTGGGGTTAGCTTACCTGGATCAAATAGTATTTTAAACTACTAATAGTTAAGTGAAAACTAGCATAAAACTATAATACCTGTTCATAAATTTATTACAGTAAGTTTTGTATTTTCCTAACTTAACTCTTAAGAAGTTAGTTCTACTAACTAAGTTAAGTTAGTTTTCCTAACTTAACTCTTAAGAAGTTAGTTCTACTAAATCAGTAGTATTGTCAAAATGTAGTCTTAAAAGTTATCTGACATGTGAAGATCTGCGGCTGGTAGCAGCTGTGGGGGCTGGTTTGGAGCTCTAGCTGGAAGCAGAGTTACAGACATGTGTTACACCATTCAGGGGGGTTTTGGTGCTTCGTGAACATGTTGTTATGCTTAAATGTGAGATTAAAAGCATTTTACTCTGATTTTTAAGCTAGAGAATCACAATCATAAACTTTTCTATGTGTAAATATGAGATAATTACCACTAATCCAGGTTTTTAAAAAATCTGTAATATAGGCAGTTTCCCGACTTGACAAATGCTTAGTGGTCTGTATGATCAGACTGTAGACAGATTTTTCGTTTCATTCCTAGAATGAATTTAGAATCTTATTTTCTTATTTGTGAAGTGGGGACTCAGAACCTTGGATTATTAAAGCCATCTGTAAAGTGGATTACTGCACAGAAATTCCTTCTCTGTTTTTTAAGTGTAAGGAATTGTGTGTTAATACTGCCAGGAGTACACTCACCTCCAAGCATCTCCAGGAGGTGATAAAACCCATGAAAGCTGGTAGGTTTAGTTGAAGTCAGTGTGTTGGTATTGTACATAAAACGCATTCTTAATGTGTTTAGCCCTCGAAGGTCACCTGAGAAACAGGTGTTGTATATGATTCCCCAGCCCACAGTGGGAAAATGAGTTCTGATCTACCTGTTAGAGAATAACCTATTTGAAAGTTGGAGACTGCCTGTACTCATTAGTCAGTTGTTTTTAGTGCTAGTAATTCTTAAAACTACTAGAAGTAGAAATAATTGTGTTAAAATTAATCCTTTATTTATTCATACATATTTTAATCTTACAGGTATTAGAAATGTTTTTATGTGTGATCATAGTTTCTTGGTCTTTTTTGGTCTTGAAGAAAGTGAATGGTTTTTTATGTTTGTATATTTCTTGAGTTTTCTTAAAAATTCTTACCTATTATGTTGTTTTACTAATGAAAATTATGTGTGTGAAATATTTTGTAAAACCCTGATGAACATTACAATTGTTTGACTTAAGCATTTAAGAAGGAAGGAAAAGGATTTTTCCCAGTTTACAGATAAGAAAAATTGAACAGAGCACAGAGAAAGATGATACTTGCTGAAAAGTGTAAGCACTTCTTCGGTGTTCATTTTATCTGACTTAAAAGTTAGACTGATATTTATATTAAAATAATTCTCAAGAAAGATTTCAGTATTTGGAATACATGCCTGTATGCTGTTAGACACACTTTAGGATGATAAAAATGATGTTGTCCATTGTAGTAATTTACCAGTAAAAGCCCTTGCCATGATTTTGCCAGGAAGTTGCACTAAAGAAAAGCAAAACAGAAACTCAGGAGTTTTCCTTTGTTTTTTCTTTTGAGTCAATAAATGCCATATTTACTTATTGAAGTTTCCACAAATCTCTTCATGTTGGACATAATTAACTCTGAGAGGAAACCCTCTCTAATGCCCAAAGTTGTTCTGACTACACAATTGTAAGTCCTAATTGGTTTATAATAATAGGTTAATAATTTAAATTTGCTTAGTACATTTCATTTTATTTGTAACTTACAGGAAAATGAAGTATATTTGAACTAATAAAGGGGTAAATATTAATGATAGATAATTACCTTTTTATTTTACCATGAACTTAGAAAATAAATATTGGGAGTGTTACTTTTTCCATTTATGATTAGTGCATTATTTAACTTCTTAGAATCTCATTTTCTTATCTGTGAAGTGGGGAAATATTTAAGTACTTGTAAGTTGTTACTTTTTTTAAATGCCTGTTTTTTTCTCCTTCAAAGAAGCTGCTAATGTACTATATCACATCATTTACCTGTGAAGAACCCAGTTATACAAATAACTTATCATAGTCTTTGACTTTAATATTTCAACTGTAGCATTTGATTTTTTAATTTATTAAGGGTCACCCTGAAGATTTATTATAGTTGGAATTAGCTTGATGCCTGTGCATCTGCTGTCTATAAATTAGATAATCCATTACTGAGGTTTTGAGACTCAGAAAATTTGTCTTAAGCTTGAAGTATAAAGTTGCTTATAATCTACTACAAAACTGTAGTAGATTATGCTCGCTTAGGCAGCGCACATACTAAAATGGAAACGATACAGAGAAGACTGTACAAGGATGACACGCAAATAAATTCATTCCATATTTTAAAAAGTATTCTTTAAAGTTACATTACTACACTGATTTCTTGTTCTAACTTTTCTAAACAAAGCAGACTATTCAGATCACTAGATTTTATTGCCTCTCACCTACATGGTTTACCATATCCTTAAAGTAGTTTTTGACAGTGAAACATTTTTATTGTATAATACATGTATCAAGTTGAATAACACAATTTAATGTTTTTAGTGATTCAAAATACTGTAACATAAAATTACTATGAAGTTTTACTTACATGCATTGTTTTTACAAGTATTTTAAATATTTCATGTTTGAAAATTCATTCATTATTCAGACTAAACTGTTGGTGTAGCTCCCCAAGTTTTAAAGTTAGAAATACAAATTTTTGATATGTAGTTCAGAAAACGTTAAGATGCAACATGTTTATTTTAAAAAATATAAGCATAGTTAGGTGGGAGTGAAGGTAAATGTCTGAAGTGCTTAACGTTAGGAAATCACGGCTGTCCTGTAGCATACTTTAAAGTCTGATTTATTGTTCAGCAGATGTCATCGTGAGTGTTTTATCAGTGTTTGTAGGACAGGGAACGTGTTTCAGATGGCCTTATTATTTCCACTGGGTGGAATGCTCTATTATTTTAATCTCTGATACAGTTTAGTCATATTTTAATTTATTTCTAACCTATTCAGCTTACAGGCCACTACATGAAAGACTACTGGAAGGAAAGAAAATAATGTACAAAGTGTAACTTTGAGAATTTACTTGTGTAAAATGATGCACTGGTTTCTTGTTCACATGTGGGGTCAGTGTTCTCCTAGCTGTAGCGCTGTTATTACTAGGTGCCAATCGTTGGAAAGTACCCAGTCTACTAATTGTTTTCTCACATCCACAGATGTGTTCAAAGCAACATTGTTTTGCTGACACAAGCCTTTAGAAGAAAGTTTGTCATTCCTGACTTTATGTCCTTTACCTCACACATCGATGAGTTATATGAAAGTGCTAAAAAGCAGTCTGGAGGAAAGGTAACGTTTTTGATGTGCGCTATTTTCCTAGCCCGGTCACTTCACCACTTCTAGTCTAGTCACTTAGACACATGAAGACCCACTTGCATATTGGTTTTCTTTACTTTTTGTAGGGTTATAACAGGAAATATAAAAATGACAGTTTTGTCAAATTTATTCAAGAACTGGCTGGTCAGAGTGACCCCTGACTGCGTGGCTCTCACCCTGATGGGTTGCCTGAGTGGAGCTCGGGCTAGACTGTTCAGTGGTTCATAATTCAGCTCAGTATGCGGTATAGTAAGTCAAGTTGTGTAGTTTTATTTAATTGAGCTAACTAAATTTAAATGAAGCAACTGGATTTAGTGGTTTTAAAATGTTTAACTTTGATATTTTGACTCAAAAAGGAAATTAAATTTGAGTTCTTTTTTTAAGTTTTCAAATGATTGTGATGGCTTTTAGCTTTTTATTTAATAAAAAGACGTTATTGGGAATTTTTGCAGATCTAATGTCCTTGAACATAAGATGAACGGTTTCTGGTTTTAACAAACCCTCAGGGTGGGGTGTAACTCAGTGGCAGAGCCCCGGCTGTGATGAGCAAGGCTTGGGTTCAGACTCCCAGGGCACTTCCCCAAGTCCTCCAAATAATGGCAGGGCTCCTCTATTTCATCTTCACAATCAATGCTGTTATTTAATCTCCACTTGGAGAGCTTTGGTTTTCTTTTGTGTCTGGGTAGCTGTATAATACAACCTCTTGGTAATTTCATTGTAAACACATTCTTTTCAGGTATTCAGTTCCTAATGTTTTAGGTGGTGAAAGTACAAGCATCCGTGGCTTGGAGGGAAGTTCTGTGTATTTTTCTTTAGGAAAAATCAAGTTAAGTCTTTCTTAGATTCTCTGCTATATTAAAAAGAAAAAACACATTGGGAAGCTAGAAATAATAGAGGCTAGGAGAAGTCAGTTAATGTCTCCCTAGTCTTGAAGTGTGTTGTGCCCTTAGTTTTCACAAATCTCGTATAAAAGGTGGACTGCAAAGCTCTGGAGTGTTGTAGCTGTTCAGTTATAGAAACTTAAGTTGAAGTGAGACCTTTTCTGGTAGAAGGAAGTGTTATTTGTCTGTATTGTGACTGGTAATTTCTTTCCAATATCTTGGGTAGGTTGCAGATTATATCCCTCAGCTGGCCAAGTTCAGTCCTGACTTGTGGGGTGTGTCTGTCTGTACCGTGGATGGACAGAGGTAAGTTTCTTTTGATCTTTGCCAGCCAACTTTAAGCCCTGTTTTTCATCACAGTAAGTGTGCAGTAGAGAGGACCGTCATTTATAATGGAAGTGACTCAACATCATTGCAAGAAGGTTCAACACATCTCATTTTTAACGTAATTTAAGAAATTGAAGTGATAATTTTATAGGGTTTTTTGAGATACTTTATGCATAGTTGTAGTCTTATTTTATTCACGTCTGAGTGGTTACTTATTTAAGAAAAGCAGTCTTGTCAAAACATGACATTCTCTACAACAAACTGATTACTAATAAAATTAGTTTGCATGTCGCAGCTTATCATTGCTTATTTGCCCTGTCATCTTTATTCTTCATGTTCTTGATATGATTAGCATAAGAGTCAAATCCACATAGGATAACATGTCCATCGATCATTCACAAAGTAAAAAGTAAAAGTCTTATTTGGGAAATGTGTGTACAGTCGGCACATTTGCTGACAAATAAGGAACTTTGTAGAATTACAAGGATAGTGATATAATGAAGACAGTCTAAAGACAGTGATTTAATTTTAAAATTCAGAGACTCTTGGAAAACTGGTGACATTCTAAAATATTTTCTCAAGAATGACCCTTTTTATTTTTCTGAAAGTCAGACATAAAGGGTTATTATCAAGTTATAATTTGGTTTTGTCAGAAAAATTATGTCATAAGAGCCAAATTAATCTTTTTCTTTTTAAAGACTAAGCTCAGAACTATGATCTTTTTGTATTTTGCTTTTTAAATAAAATAATTCTTTTAGACTTAGAGATGTACAGTTTTAAAAAAATAAAACTATTGATGCAAAAATTTGCATACTACACAAATTTGTAAGCTTAAATGTAAAATTCAGTAGACCCCAGCACAAAGTTGTATACAGTTGATAAGTACAGTTTGATGAATTTATATCAGAGGTGTAATTTTAACCTAAATTTTGCTAAGACATCAACTCATGTCACCTTAGAGAGTTTTTCATGATAGTGTCCCAATTGAAGCCTTTTCCCTCTACTTAAGAAACATTGATTTCCTCAGCGTTTTACTTTTCAGTAATTATCTTTAAGTACTTAGAGAGCACATCCATTTATTTTGAAGGAGGGACCCTAAGGCCCACGGTTAAGATAATAATGGGAAAAGGGAAGCAGGTACCGAGGTCTCATAACTGCTAGCCCTCTGTTCTTTCCATTGTTACACACACTTTCCCACTCTTGGACTCATGAAATGTATGAGATACTCACTGTATATTGCATTAAATGTTGAGTGCTTCAGAGGACACAAATAAGATGACATGGCCTTATCCCCTGGAGCAAATTCCAGTAGGAAGTTTTCTATATTACAGAAATAGTTTGTCATATAATGAAAAAGTTTTAGAGGAGATTACTGTCATGTAATTTCTTACAAAGTCTCGGTCGTTTCATAGAAAAATATTATCTACCTCTTATTTATGTGTATGTATTTTTATTCTGTCATAAACCTAGAAGTGAGGAGGTCAGGTGTTCCTGCCTGAAGTTTTGATTCACCTCTGCTTGGAGTGGTTACTAATGATGCCCGTTTCACGATGCATAAGTTGCACTGTTAACGCATGAGTCCCGTGGTGTTCCGGGCATTTGTGTATGGACCAAGGAGTTGAGATGCTGTGCCCTTATGAAGCTTATATTATAATGGAGTTGGCCAGAACTTTATCCTTGCCAAGTCCACTTTTTCATGTATTTCTTAAGTTGGAACATCCAGATCTTTCTTCTCATTCTTTGGTTTAGCTACATGGTTGGTAGTGACTGCCTACTTTAATTTAGTGTTAGCCGAATAAAGGTGGTGAAACTTCTAATGGAGCTGGCATTAAGAAGCGGTTCACGGGGCTGGGATATAACTTAGTGGTACAAGTGCTTGCCTGGTGTTGCAAGCTCCTGCGTTTGATTCCTGGTACCAAAAAAAAGGGTTCCCAGATGAGACCTTTGTAGACCAAGTGCAGAGCGTATACTGAATCTAAGCTCTGTTGAGCTCTTCACTGACCTGGGATAGCTTGGCTGACCCCTTGAACAAAAATTTTCATGTTACTTGACTAATATAGAACTGTTCTGTTACCTTTAAGTACTTTTAAGCTTTTGCTTTTTAAAGAATACTATCTCTTAAACATTTATGCTTTAATATTGAAGTGAATTTTTGTGGTTGAATTATGGGAAAATCTTGGTAAATTGGAATTAACATGTAAAAATAAAAATTCACAATTGCGCAGTTGTTTTGATTGATGTTGTTTTGCGAACCTGTTTTTCCTAGGCATTCTATTGGAGACACCAAAGTTCCCTTCTGTCTTCAGTCCTGTGTGAAACCTCTGAAATATGCCATTGCTGTGAATGATCTCGGAACTGAGTATGTTCATCGCTATGTCGGGAAAGAGCCCAGTGGCTTAAGATTCAACAAACTATTTCTAAACGAAGACGGTAAGAGCCATCTGAAAGTTGCTTGGAGGGGGGAGAAAAGCACATTTTTCAATGTCTATTTAGTTTTAAAGTATTTATTTTTTTGGATTTTTTTGAGATAGTCTTCCTATGTAGTTCAGGCTGGTCTTGAACTCACTGTGTATGTAGATCAGGCTGGCCTTGAACTCATGGCGATCCTTGTGCTTTAGCCTCCTGAATGCTGGAATTAAAGGTGGCTACCATCATGCCTGGCTAAAATGTTTGGGTTTTTTTGTTTGTTTGTTTGTTGGTTGGTACTGGGGATTGAACTCTCGACCTCATGCTTGCCAGGCAGGCACTTATGCTGCTGAGCTAAAAACCCAGCCTAAACATGTATTTTTGAATCAAATGAGAACTGTTCCACTTTTTAATAATTTTCATGAGATTTCTGCAAAATCTATTGCGATAATCACTTTTAAAAATGATTATTTTGGGCATCTCTGACAACTAGGTATAGAGGAGAGGGCAAGGAATAAGAAGTTTACTCTGTAGCCACCAGTAAGGAAGCATCTTGTAAATCTCAGGATGTTTGGCATTTACCGCCATGCAGGAAGGCAGGTGTGAGTTGGGTGCCATGATTAGTATGCTGGTAACATTGCTACTAAATGATTCTCTTTGGCAAAGGTGAAGCAAGCACTTAGTCTTTTCTAGTTATTTTCTTTGCATTGTTACAGGCTCTTATCCTCATTTGGGCCCATAAAAATGTATGCAGATGTGTTGAATTAAATGTTTGGTACTGTGAAAGAAGGCAGAGAAATGGATGACATGTTTTTGTCTGATGGAACAGATTCTAGTAGGAAGTGGTATTTCTACTTCAGCACATTTATAATTTACATGTGTGTTCTGTGCAGCCACTGGGGACCAGGGCTGTCCAGCAGGATACATAAATTAGTATCCTTAGCTTTTTGTAAGCTTGAGACAATACTATCCATCCTGAAGCTACTGGAAAAATGAAGATACCACTATACCTCTCCTGCCTAGATTCTGAACCAACTGTGTACTTTTGAGCCTTGGTTTGGACCAAACCCAGCAGAAAATGGTGTGAAGATCATTTTCACATTTTAAATTTCAAGGGTAGATTTTTGATGAAACTATATACCCTGTAGATGTAGCTGTGTCATTACAGAATTTTTAAAAATAAATTTGTTAATATTACCCTACCTTAAGTCTATAATGATAAATTAAAATTAACATGAGTATAATGAATAAATATAGAAATTATTGCAGTTATGCTCAGTAACAGTAGTTTGATGCTATGATGGATGTGACTGATACTTCCTATTACAAATGAGTAGACACAGTGTTTTATGGAGATGTCAGTTTTGGAAACCATCATCTACCATACAGTGGTTAGATTAATCAGTAAGTAATATCTTTGGTATCTGTTTTTACCAGATGTGGAGGGTAGAGAGCATTGGTCATCCAGAGTTTCTTACCTAGCTGATACAACAGAATAGAGAGGACAGTCCTCTGAAACACAATAGAGAAGACGAGTTAAGCATTGCATTCTGCTTAATGACATCGTCTTACAAGTGTGTGATCGACAGGTGCCAAAGGGTATTTGTCGGTTGTAGATTGTAGATGGCTGAGGAGGAGTGGGGTTAATCCATGTGAGGAAGACGGGACTGACCTTGTTTAGAAAGGATAACATTTCTAAACTTACAAGAGTTGGAGAACATACTGCACACATGTCACTGTGGGGGTAATTAAATGTGGACACTTAAAATTGTTTCCTGGCAGTTTTAACCCTTATAATACACTGGTAACTAATGTACAGTGCTTGGCTCACCCAGTAGGTGCTTATTCCTCTTGTTGAAGTGAAATTTCATACCCTTTGACCACCCTCCCCTCCCCACAGGCCTGGGGAGTGCAGTGTTTTATATTCCTCATGGGAAGTCAACAGATAGGGTTTTTAAATGTGCTGGCTTATTTCACATAGCATAATGTCCTCCTGGCTTGTCTAGATTGTTTTTGTTTGTTTGTTTTTGTCCAGATTATTATAAAATGACATTATTTCCTTGTTCTTCAAGGCTGAGGAGTATTCTCCATTGTATCTGGTAACACTTTTCATTCATCCATTGATGGACACTTAGGTTGATTTCCTCTCTCACCTGTTGTGAATAATGGTTGTAATGCAGGTGAGAATATGGATCCCACCCCAATACTATTCAGTAATTTCATTTCCAGAAGTAGGATTGTTGAATCCAATATAAACAGTTTTAAACCATAGGCTTTAAGTTACATTGTTGGTCTTCCCTTGAAGGAAGCTGGTAGACTAGTTTACCCAGCCAGTTTTTTTGAGTGTCTAAATTATCTTTTTAATTGCAAGGAAATTTTAGCAGCTTTAATGACACATAGTTCACATTCCATATGACTAACCCACTTAAAGGGTACAGCTCAGTACTTTTTACTACATTCAGGTAGGCAGCCGTCACCATGCTGCAACTTAGAACACCTTCACCCCCTTGCAAGACCTCCCGTGCCCATCGACGGCTCCTCTGCGCTCCTCCAATCCCTGAACACTGCTAATGCACTTTCTGTCTCTAGAGATTTGTCTGTTGGGGGAAAATTTCATGTTTCTGGAATAATACAATACTCGACTTTTTTTTTGTACCAGGGATTGAACTCACAATCTCGCACTTATTTGGCCTTTTTGATGGCTTTATATTTACTACTTCATGGTTTTAAGGGTTTGTCCATGTAGTGTTACTCATTTTTGTATTAGTTTGTTGATACCATGGCTTACCTACTTTGCAGCTTAAGGGACAGTAGAATTATTTCCATTTTTAGGCTTTTATCAGCAATGGTGCTGTGCACATTTGTGTGCAAGTGTTTGTGTGAGTGTGTTTTTCTTCTGGTTCTATCCCTAGGAGTGGAATTGCTGGGTTACATGATAATGCTGTTTAATGTTTTGAGGAGCTGCTCCTGTTTTCTAGTGCATGGGGTTGTTAGATACAAGCCTGTCTCAGTATAGGACACAGGTAGAATTTTTGATGAGTTTAAATTGTAAGTTGTGAAATTATATAATTGGCAATAAATATAGAAAGCACAGGATATATGCATATCACTGGTCAGTGTTTTCTTGTATGTTTATACATAAGCATAAAAATAATAAAACATTATTTAAAAAGCAAAAATGCGGTCACATCAGATAGGGGTGTCCAATATTATTTCTAAGATGGTAGCGTTACTTGAACAGTTGAGTAGTGGAGAGCGCATTGGCTGCTGCTGCACAGGCAGCTCTCCTGCCCTGCACAGAAGCGGTACAGCAAAGCTCAGTGGCTCCAGGGGCCCAGCTACCCTAGGAAACTTAACATTGTTTCACTCACACCCTAATGCTAGCTTAGTAACTAATTTACTTCAAAAAGAGTTAAAAAGCTACCATGATAATGGCTTACATTTTTTTAACAGCTCATGTTTATGAGAAGTATTTCTGCATCCAAAAAAAAAAAAAAATGGTACCAAGTATTTGAAGCAATTCTGTTGCTTTTATATTTTACAGATAAACCACACAACCCTATGGTAAATGCTGGAGCCATTGTTGTAACTTCGTTAATAAAGGTAAAATATTGGCATTTTCTTTAACCTAGTGAAGTTTTTATAATACCAAAGACAAAAATGAATCTTGCCTTGTTTATGTAGGATTGTGAAATGCTTTATCTTGATTTAAAAAAAACTAATTTTGGTGTATAGATTTAGGATTTTTATGTATTACAAAATAAAATGTCAATAGTTTCAAGGCCAAATTTTAAAACCAATGACTCCATTCAGTGTAAATCCCAACAGTAAATGTCAGTCTCTTTCTTGACAAAGATTTAAGAAGTCTGCCAAACAGTAGGTTAAGGAGATTAAAGTTTTAAGTTTTTTTCTATTTAAATTTTTCATATATTTTTGTTTCTCTTCCTGTTGGCTTTTGTGCAATGAGCAGATGTTAACAGAATTAAAAGCATTTTACTCTATATTGTTATTTACATATGTAGCAATAAATATTAAAAGTAGTTCATGTTTAAGGTAAAGTACATTTACTGTTATCTGTCTCAAGTCTTTTATACTTTCATGACTCAAACCACAATTTTAATTTGAACTTGTTTCATACGCTTTACTTAAACCATGCCATAATTAAGTAAGGCTTATTCCAATTGAGTTGTATTTCCCATGTTTTGTTGTTTACATTGTATGTTGTTGATTTTTTTTGTTGTTGTTAGCGTTTGGTTTACCTTGTCAGCTCTGATGCTGTTTCATGTTTTCTAAAATGATTCTGTCGTGATAAATTTCAGTATCACACAGTTTCAGACTTCATAATTTTTAATTTATATTTTAAATTCTTAATTATGTTTTGTTTGTATTAAAATAAATGTCATTTGTATTTAGAACATTCAGTGATTTGTTCCTGTCTATTCCAAGTTAGACTGAAACCTAACTCATAGCATTGAAAATGCATGACTAGATTTTCAGTACTGGTTACACAAAGGATATTCACAAATTAATGACCCTGTTGGCCCAATTCACCAAGATTCATGTAGTTTAAATACAGAAATCCTGCCTTAACTTTTACAAGCTTTATATCCTCATGAGAAAAAGCTTTTAACATGAGGAATACTACCTTAAGAATATGTTTGGTTGTTATTTTGGGGCGTAAAGCTGTGGCCCAAATTCTTAGTGTAATGAAGTATATATTTACACAAGTATTTGAAAATATAACTTAATTTTAATAAGCAGTGGAGATTTTCACTTTCTTCACTGTAACATCTAGTTAGTTGTGGCTATTTTACCAAGGAGAAGCTATTCTGAGGTGAAAGAAACCTACAAAAAAATGACAATGCATTTATGTGCAAACTACAGTTCTGCCTTTAGGTAATTATGTAGTATAGCATATTATATAGTATAGTAAACGTGCCCTTATAATTAAATTGAATAAGTGATGTGCTGAAAGTTTCATTAATAATTAAGATCTGAACAAGTAACAATTTAGAAAGAAAGTTACTATATAGTGTGTAAGTGCTTGATTTTAAAAATACTAGAATGATTCAGTACCGTTTTGGGGTTTTCCAGAACAATCCACATACCATGATTTTAAATTTTAAGGGGTTCATAGGCCATTTAAAAATTCCAGCACAGGAACTTTTATGCTGGAAAGATAACATCAGCAGTGTTTTCAGGAAGAGGCCTATCTGAGTGTTAGTGGGAGACTTCCTTACAGTCACATATTAGGTATCATTTTGTCTAATGATTTGTGGGTTTAATCAACTGCATTGAAATGCCACATGTGGGAATTACATGTCTGGTCATCACACATCACTTCATTAGTTTCATTTACCATTTTTGGTCATAGTGCATAACTACATTGAACCACATTAGTGTGAGTATTTAGAAACAGAATTTTAAAACAGGTACCTTGTAAGTGTGGCTCAGTGCCCAATAGTGCAAAAATTTAACTGAGCCCTATCAGCAGATTTGACCAGTAGTTTTAAATTTACAAAAATTTCATATTCAGTAGCAAACTTGGAAATGAGACTTTGGGGATATGACTTATATTTAAGGTCACTTTCTTTGAATTCTTGTTTTGTTTTTTACAAGCAGTATTTTGCAAGTGTTGTTTACAAGTGATTTTTTTTTTAAACTTGTTTGTACAAGTCTTGGAGGGGGAAGCCTGACACAACCCTCATTAAATTGACTCCCCAGAATGTAAAACTTCTTAGAATCTTTCAAAGAAAGAAAGAAAAACTCGTATAGATATCTGATGCAGTCTTTGCAAATTGTGTGATAACAATATTCATGAATGTTTGATGGTTTCAAATTGAATGAAACTAGCCAGAAGGAGTCACAGAAGTTGCTAAACGTGGTCCTCTTACTCTTGTATGCCATAGGGAATGAGACTGAGTAGGCTGTTGTAACAGCAGCAGAATTGGGCTTTGAGCAAATTCTCCTGGTATTTTGTGTTCTGGAATTAACTGTGCCGCATTTAACCTAGTGTTTACTATTTCACTTGATGACATCTTCAACTTAACTAGCATAGTTAAGTTGTCCAGAAAAAGCAAAATAGTACTTCCAAATTTTTAACTTGTACAAAACATACTGATTTATTGGCTTAAAAATTGGAACCATTTTTCAGTGCACTTATGTAGACATTCTTGGACATCAGTTGGTGTTCGTGACCTGGAAGGGAACAGGTCCTTTTTCCAAGGAGCTTGTGTTTGAGTGGCCAAAGCGTGGCTATTTTCTCATAGCAACTAGATGGATATGAGTTCTGTTGTTTAGGTTTTCTTTTGACCTTAAGGCTGTTTGTAATTTTTTTTTATTAAAGATGCAGGGCCTATTACGATATCTTTTAAACAAATTTCCTCATGTTATTCCCCTCCCAAAAAAATTGAGTAGAGTCTTTAGTAAGACTCTTTATTTCATAATTTTGTAGTATTGATATTTTTTCCTTGTAGGATTGGTGGTGATCCTCAGGAAATGGGGGAAGAGGCAGAGCAAGTATTCAAAAGGATTAGCAGATTGTGGAAAAAGGAGGATTTGGACAGAAGGAACCTGTTGCATAAATTCTTAACTACTAAGCTTATAGGAAAACTTCAATATTTAAAATTTTAAACAAAGCTATATAGGTAAATACCTTTTTAAAAACAAATGTCGTTGTATACTAAAATTGCACATAATTAAAAAAACATAAGGGTTACTATACTTCCTCACTTTCTAAATGATGGCTACTAACTTTAAAGGAATATTTTTTGTTGCAGTCTGTTTTGTGATGGTAATGTGTAATTGTTTGATTTAAAGGAAAGAATAAAAGCATATTTGAAAGGAACTCAGTTATGATTAGATGAAATAGTAATCTTTATGTACATTTTTTCTTTTCAAAGGTAAAAGTTTCACCTAGTTTTAATTTTAAAATTGGGAGTCTGATGATTTAAAGTTAGAGGTAGGAAAATGGGGCAACATACTGCAAAATAATCGCGACTTCTGCTTTTTTTGTTTTAGAAGTAGAGCAAGCTACATGACCTTTTATGCTTTATGCCTTTTTAGTGTAGTGATAGTTTCCAGCTTATCATTTGAAGATTTTTTTTTTATGTCACAAGTAGTTTTGAATTTTAAAAAAATGAAGGTTTCTTTTTTCTTAAAACAATTAAATCATGGTCCATTAAAATCCAAGATAAATTTAGTTAATGTATATGTAATGCTCCACTGGGTCACGTAAGCAGTAGCCTGTTAAATCTTTTAAGACATGTTTTCAAGGCAGTTTGTTACTCTGGAGGGACTTTGGATTGAAGATTATATAGTGTTGTGCATTTATGTTTAGTGATACATTTGAGTTTTTTTTAATGATAAGTTTTTGCCAACTGAATTCACTGTTGTGTTTATTTCTAGGGTTAACCTTTGAAAAAAACTAGATTCAGAACATTACTTTTTACCTGTAATATCTGTTTCTAATTGCCCTACCACTGTTTAGCTTTAAAATATCTTCTGTGGCAAGATTAAAACAAGACTTCCTGGGGCTGGAGATTTGGCTCAGCGGCATAAGTGCCTGCTTTGCAAGCTCACGGTCATGAGTTTGATCCTCCATACTGATTAAAAAAAAGACTACCTACTTTTATAAAATCATTTTAGTTACCTCTTTTTGCCTCTTTGCTCTGTGGTCTCTAACTTTGATTGGCTGTAGCTCTGTATTTCTTAAAGGAATCCAGTAGGTTCCAAGATAGCTGAGTCATGTATCAACTTTTTTTTTTGTCTTTTTTTTTTTTTTTTTTTTTCCGGTACCAGGGATCGAACTCAGGACTGCCTGCTTGCAAGGCAGGCGCTTATGCCGCTGAGCTAAATCCCCAGCCCTGTCATGTATTAACTTTAAATGAGCCATTTTTATATTAAAAATTTTGACAGATGTCATTAACAGTGATGGGAATAATTTATGAGTGTTGTAAAAGCAGCAAAGACAGTGCAACGTAGATGCGTGATTTCTTTTAATAGGCAGTGTTGTGACTCAGCGCCTCTATTTTCATTCATAGCTCTTTTCAAAGAATGTAAATTCTGAAACTTAATAGTCATGCTTATAGAATGAAAAATTAGTATAATTTTCTAGCATCAGAACCTGGCTACCTTTTCAAACAAATCACATGATTTGCTTTTTAAAGTCATTTGGTGAATGAATTAAAATTTTTGGTAAATACATTTTGCCTAGTTCAGTTTCTTTCAAAAATATCCCTTCTGTGTTTACTTCAAAAAACTGTTCCAAAATTTAAAGTAATACAGTATTTAATAATGCTTGTACCGTGACCGTCAAACTGGACCAGACCTGTTCTGAGTATATGAAGAGTTAGAGGGACGCTGATGAGAGTTTAAGACACTTTTCAGATGTTTCCCTATGGGCCCTTCTCAGAATACATCTGCCCTTGGGTCTAGTGTCTCTCCATCTTCCCAAAGAAAGGAGTACTTCTTGTGTGTCCCAAAATTTATTACAGTGTATGGTTTAGGTAATAAAAACTACTTGGGCACCCGCAAAAGAGAACATTCTCAAGTACATAGTCAGTAATAGTGAGGGTGCGAATCAGCAACTACTGGTCGTTAAGCCCTGTTGTATTTCAGTCTTTGGTTTCAGCAGATTTGAAAGGATCAGTGTGCTGTCATTCATAAGAGCATTGTCGTTTTTGAGGATAGATTACTGTGACTTTTGACATGTAATGAGGTTGAGAGGAACGTAAAGAACTGCATGACCTTGATGTAGTAAGATTTTTTGCTATATGTCTCTGTTTTTGTATTATAAAGCAGGATTTCATAGCTCACATGTCTGTAAAAATTAAAAGTAGGAAGACAAGTAGTTGCTATTTCATTCTGTCAGTAGAAAATACTCACTGATGCATGAACTAAAAATCAGTCTACAAGGGAAAGAATAAAGGGAACAGTCTCGTAAACGAGCATGGACAATATTAATGTCACTATTTTTCCTTTAACTTTACGGTGAAAAAATTCAGACATATATCCAGTAAATGGAATGACTAGCCCCATTTTAACTTCAGTTTTAGTTTTTGTAAACATTTACCCATCATGAGGTAATGATAAGTTTTTATTTTCAGTTTAGCTTTCCTGGATAAAGAGGATTTATGCTGTCACTTACTTTGTATATGTGTGTGTGTGTGTTTTCCTAAGAGTTGTGCAGAGGAGCTTTTTACTGTAACTTTTTCAAAATTAAAATAACATCTTAATAGTCAATTCCATATATTCCCAAGGTTCATGTAATCTTTCTAAGAGATAGAGGTGAATATGTGTTATTGAATTCAGTGACATTTCCAGGGTAGATAATAAAAACAGGCATTAATGTAATGCCTTTACATTGAAATGGGAGCATTTGAGATGAGACATTCTCTAGTCTACGTTTTTGTCCTATTTATATACTCTGCCTAGGGCATTTTGAGCAGCTTACCCAAAATAGGTTATATTGATAGATATTGATAAATATCAGTTGTTTCTTAAAAACAACATAAGAGCATAATTTAAGCGTTTTAATTTTGTAAAGCCACAAAAAGACCAGATAAGCAACCACAGTCTAGAATTGAAATGGTTTTTATTTTAAACATGATAGCTCAGTAAGAAAAACTGGTATTAGTTTTACAGTATGCAGTCTAGGTCAGAGAATAAAAGTTCAGTATTACTTGTATATTTTACATTGATTAATTGTATAACCAGTACTTATTTATGTGACATCCAGTGCAAATACTGCCATCCTTTTCCAAAAGGTTTTTTTTTTTTTTTTTTTTTTAATGCTTTTTCCAAGGTTGAAAAGGTTTTTGTGGCTTAAATGTTGTTACATATTTTACAGCATTAGGATCTATGGAATATTTTGACAACTGCAACAGTTCAATGAAGTTGGTAATTTCTTCTTTTAATTATTTTTCATTGAACAGCTTTGGAGTTACATTTCTACATTTTGATTTTTAATATAAGAAAACAAAACTTAAAGTATGTCAAAGGATGCTTTAGTGAAATATATAGAAATTGCAATCTGGCTGGTACTAAATTACCTTATTTTTGTTAATTCCTCATTTTGATGAAATAGTGTGGTGGCCTCCAGTTACTGATTTTCATCTGGGCCTGCACTTGTTAAATAAGTTAATTTGTAAGGTTTCACCTGATACCACCCATACCCTGATCTTCTCATAAGTGGAGAACAAACCTAGCTTTATTCAGTTAAGTAATAATCTGGAACAAGTTCCCCTTCCCCCTATGCCTGCACCTATAGTAACATTTTAAATTGGAACATTTTAGATTTTTTTTAAGGTAAATTACTGTTTTTAAAGACTAGTTATCAAAATTATTTTAAGCCTGTTTTTAGAAATTAGAGATGTATTGTTTCTGTTGGGTGCATATCACCAATTAATACGTTTGATTTCAGATCTACAACTTTACTGCTTTGTAAACTTCGCCGAGGTAAAATGAAACCATTTGGCTACTTGAACTGATCTACATACATTACATAGGTTTTTTTCCTAATGACATTTGAAGTAGATAACATGTCAGAAATAGAAGTGATGAAACAATACATCGTCTGCACTCTGAATTGGCATAATGCTAAATGTAATTATAGTTAATTTCTTAGAGACTATGAAATACAACATTTTTTAGTTGAAGCCTTGTTGTACAAGGAGAGATATTAAGGGTAGAGCTTTCTCCACACTAAAATGTATCCAGAATGCTTGCCTATTGTAAAATTACAAAAAATTAGTCAATTTTGCATTGTAACTCATTTTTCTAACTCGATTAATATTGGCTTATGAGTTTTCTAAAAACTATAGATTGTTGAGAATCATGGCACATATATATATAATTTTTTAAGGGTGAAACTTTATTTTAAGTTTTTATAATACGAACTAAATACCATTCGTATTAGCAGATTATGTGCTGGCATGAATCATACGAGGATTTCGGGGTTACTTATATTTAAAATTATGTCATTTTGGGTTGAGTAAAATTTTACTTAAAATAAAGCATTCCCTTTGTAATTTTGATTTTTTTTTTTTGTCCCTCAATATGTGGATGTTAAACAACATGTAAAAAAGTTTAAATAGTAAATTAAATAGTAATAGTAAATAGTAAATACTGCCTAGATTTAAAAGTACTAATGCAATAATGGTAGCAGTTTGAGATCTTGTTATTATATTAGCTTTAAACTTAACTGTGATAGCATATACATTAACATATTTATGTCTCTGATTTCTTTGCAGCAAGGAGTAAATAATGCTGAGAAATTTGACTATGTAAGTGCAGCACAGATTTCTGTTTTGCTGTTGCTTCTGTATTTGCTTTATGTGTACTAATGTGCCCTTTTTTGGCTCATAGGTGATGCAGTTTCTGAATAAGATGGCTGGTAATGAGTATGTCGGATTCAGTAATGCCACGTGAGTCTTGTTTATAACAGCCTTTTTCAGTTGGTCAAAACTCTTCACAAGAATTTTAGATCGTACAATTTTGTTTTCACTCTTGATTTTTTACTTCTCATGTGTATACATGTGTATACGTACTGCTTTTAGAATTAATGTACTCTCCCTTGTTGGTCCTAACACTGACTTCTGTGAATAAATAATTACCTCAAATCTGGTCCTTAGAGAAAAATGATTTCTTAGTTACCCAACAGGAACATTTAAAAATGTTAGTTTTAATAAATTATTCAAAGAAATCCCAAGTTTGCCTCAAATCACAGGGGCTCAGTTTTCTAGCCTGTCGTATACTTCTCTTGTCTCTGTCCCTGGCTAAAACGATTTTTGCCCCTGGTCTTAATTTTGAAATTTGCAAACTACAGAAAATTTGAAAGACTAAACAATGAATATGTGGTATCTTCCGTTTAGGTTATTTTCTGGTTAATATTTTGTGTTATTTGTTTTTTCTCAGTCTTCCTTTTTAGATAAAAATGTATGTGTATGTTTTTCCATGCACATACTGTACTCTGCATGTATTTAGATGAATTTTTTGCTGAGTCATTTGAAGCTCAGTTTTAGATACCATGACACTTCCCTCGAATCACCAACATGCATGTCCTGGGAATGAGGTCATCACCCACATAACCCAGTACCAGGGGCACATCTAAGAATGATAATTTTAAAATATGGTAAATGTTTGTAAATGTGGTAGAAGTATGTAAATGTTCCCAGCTGTCTGCTTATTTAGTGGGTTTTGCAGCTTTTGTTTGTCTTTAATTCATGAAGTAATGAAGATTTATGCTTTACGTTTGTTATTGTGTAGTAATTCCCCCTTAGATCTTTGCTGTTGAGAAATTCTGTTAAAGGGGTTCTTGTTTGGTTTTGGTTTAAGAGTACAGGTCACTTGTTTCACAGAGCAAGATTGACTTGGCTTTTCTTCGTGGGACCACAGTAAATATTTTAGACCTGTGGGCCACCTGGTCTTTGTTGGAACTGCATAGCTCCGCTTATCGCCTTGAGTGTCTGAGTGTTTTCAGGAATCTGTGCAGCTTTCTGTGCTCTCAGTAAGATAAATTCTGTATTTTATTGAGCTTATTTTGCCCTGTCCCCATCAGTTCCTTGAGAATGGGGTCATATCTCCCACTCACTCCCATGTCCCTGTTACCTGGCACATAACTGGCACCTGAACTAGTGTTGGATGAGCTGAACTGTGCACAAAGCACTGCTAATTGTGAGTAGTTAATCCTCTGAATGCACGAGGCTGATGCTTCTTAGAGCCTGGCGAGTCAGCAGGACTTTTTCCACACCCACTGTACCCTGTCCTATCGTCAGAGTGTCCAAGTGCAGGTAGAAGGGGCTGTGCGTGTCACTAATGCAGAGCGTCCTCCTCCAGTCCCCTGCTGCCCGCAGTCTTTGGACTCGTGTAATCTGTCTGCATCCAAGTACCCCTCTTCGTGCACTGCTGCTTGCTGCAGGGATCCCGTATCAACTCTGGATCCTCTCAGTAAGCCGTGCTGGGAGCCAGGCGTGGTCCCAAACCGTACCCTGCCTCTCAGCCCGGACCACTGAGCCAGCCGCTTGCTTGTTTGCTTGTCCCCCTTCCCTGCCTGTCACCTCCGCCTGTTTCCAGCTTCTGCAGCACTCATTTCTGTAGTAGCATCCAAATGGAACACGCATTTTTCCTTTTTCCACTTTCAAAACTGATGTCAGTGTTGCTCTTCTAAAATGTAGATCTGGCAAGTAACTTTGTGCAGTCAGGCTGTTTTTTTGGCATTCACTGGCCTTGACTGGGTCCCAGTCTTCTTTGCCAGTTTGATGTTTCTCCCTTCTTCTCTGTGGACTTTTCCCAGATAGCTCAGATCGTGTACCATCTTACAGTGAAATTCTCTCTTCTTCCTTTCGTAACTTTGTTCTTGATGCATGGAACCTGCCACTGCAGGTTTCCCCAAAAATTTCTTCATCTAGTGAGTCGCCAATATCTAAGATGCGGGTCCCTGCCCCCGAAAGTTCCACAGGGTCCCTGAATTTAAATTAACTGTTTAGTGTACTTTTGGGGAGGCCAGAGGGTTCCATAAATATTCAGTGTATTTTAATGGCGAAATACTTGAGAATTTTAAAATTGGCTACTTGGTTTATAAAATGTGACTTGGTTTCACTTTATTCCTTCTGTAGCTGAGAAAATTCATACTGGGGAACTAACATTGAAATGACTTACCCAAGAGCACGCGAGCGGCCCAGTGACAGAGCAGCGTGTAGCACTCTGCAGTCCGTACTCCGCGTACTGCCCTGTGCTGTACAAGTTAAGGAAACATGCTGCTTCTGCAGAAAGTAACCGGCACGTGTTGTTTCTTCCAGGTTTCAGTCTGAAAGAGAAAGCGGAGATCGAAATTTTGCAATAGGATACTACTTGAAAGAAAAGAAGGTCTTTCAGTTTTTGTTTCTATTTCAAATTATTCCTTGTTTAATAAAATACAATGGTATACACAGTGATACCTCATGTCAAACAGCTCAAAGCTCAAACTTTCCACTACTTAGACAGCAGAGTTAAACTCTGCTCCTCATTGTAACTGTGCTCCAAAGTCGGGCGAGAATCCAACTGGCAGCTCTGCACAGCCGGCCTCACCCTGATCCCGCCTCCGACCCCCAGAGGGGCACCTGTGGATTTTGGGCCTCAGAATCAGTTATCTGATTATTCATTATTCCTTATGGGAAAAAGACATTCAGTTCTCAAATTCTCCAGTGTTTAAACCCAAATTTGGAGTGAATTGCATCTGACAACTGAGGTATCACTGAGAATTCAACAATGGTTTCAGGTAGTTAAGTGGCTAATCCAGGCTAGGGATTTAGCTCAGCGGCATAAGCGCCTGCCTTGCAAGCAGGCAGTCGTGAGTTCGATCCTCGGTACCGATAAAAAAGAAAAAGACAAAAAATAAAATAAAGTGGCTAATCCAGTAATTTGATTTATGAGTTATGAATTAGTTTATCATATTCACTTAAATTAGTATTGGGAAAGGCAAATAAATAATGTGATGTAATTTTACTTATTTAATTTCATGTTAGCACTCTTACACATTAAACTGTTATAAACTGAAATGCTGTATACTTTCAAAACTTAATCTTATTCTTCTGTTTATGAATTTTTTTCCTATGTGCTTATATTTTAAATCGCTTTTGTACTTTTTCAGTGTTTTCCGGAAGGCACAGACATGGTGGGCATCCTAGACTTCTATTTCCAGGTAATTTACTTTAATTGTCTGAGCTGTGCATAACTCAATGCATCACATTTGCAAAATATCAATGTCTCTCAAATTTTGACCCTAAGCAATTGATTTTTTAAAAAAAAAGTTTTGAAGGCTGTTTCATGTCTGTATTTTCTGAAAATTGAAGCCTCAGAATAGAATAGGAAAAGTTTTCTGAAAAATATGGGAAGTGATGTACAGTACCAGAAACACTCTTTTCCTGATTATAAACCGAACTGTTGTAGACTATTTGGGAGAAGCCGCTTCTTTATCAGAGTGGTCATCGTCAGCACTTTGAAGTGTCAGTTTCTTGGCTGACTTGCTGTCTTCTGTAATCTTTGTGACTGTTGTATCCTGGCTTCATTGGTGGTAGGAGAATAATTGCTTGCAGTGTATTTCCATCTGTGTTAAGAGTAGTTGTTAGTGTACCATGGAGCATGGGACAGACTGTGCCTAAGCTCTTGTGTATACACCACCATTCGGAGACCAGGGCCAACCCCGTATTTTCAATTTGGTTTCTTTGTACATATTTAATACCTTTGGTGCCGTTGCTTGCACTGTAATAAGAAGCTGCATAGTAGGCTACTTATTTTTCAATACCTGGTTCACCATAGATTTTCCTGCCTTTTCTTTTGAATTTAATTTTAAACTTTTAGTAACTCTATAGAATATACAAGAGATGTTGATAGTGGCATAGTTCATGGTGCAGTACTACACGGGTCTTCTGCCTAGTGTGCGTTAAGAATCCAGACAGACTGTCAGGCCTGGCCTGCAGTTCTTGTTTACCAGCCATGCGATCTCGTTTTTTAGCTGCAGAGCCCCAGCTTCCTTAGCTAGCATTAGCTTCCCCTTGGCTTGCTTTATCATGCTGAAGATCACTGAGACGGTATGTGTGCAATTCCTTTGCAATGTATGAAGTCTCACATAAATTGTACCATTTTTGTTTTTATCAGTAACCTTTTTTTCTTCCTAACCTATATATAGTTCTTTTCCTCAACTGTCAATTACATTTAGATGTTACTAATCTGTGAAATTTCTGTACTTCAGGACAAAAACCAGGAGAGTCATTTTGGAGAAGGGTTGCATCTAATCAGTGACTGTCCACCGTGTTGTTGGGAGAGTATTCCCAAGATGGCATTTGTCAGATTTGAACAGTGTTGCTTTAGGATAAACAAAATTTCAGTTACTCCTACATGTGAATTTGAAATGGTCACTGAAATTTTAATTTTTAGGGGGCTGGGGTTTTAGCTCAGCAGCATAAGCTGGTACCAAAAAAAAAAACCAAAACAATGTTCTTTCTTTTGGAAAGCTTTTCATTTTAAAGCTTTTGCTTGCCATACTGAACAGTGTAACAAGTAGATTCCATGGTTCTGGAGAAATAGGGAAGAGCTTTTTTTTTTTTTTCCAAGACCGGGGATTGAACTCATGGCCTCACACTTGCCCGGCAAGCGCGTACGCCATTGAGCTAAATCCCGGCGCCTTTTTTTTTTAAGTATCAAAAGGGAAAAGGGAAAAGTAATCAGAAATGACTCCCAATCAGTTATAAATTATACTGTTATAATTCACAGTAAGTTCCTTTGTAGATCTAGAAGTATGACAGGAAAGTGCACAATTTGAGGACCTAGTTTTCTCTTCCTTCTTCCTCTCCCTCCCTGATTTTTTGTTTACTGTTAATTAAAAATGAAACATGAAACAATTTATTTCTTGAGTTTTATGGGTAAATTCGGGTTTGGTGTGATAAAACTATATCTGTTAGTTAAATGCAAAAATTTCATCCTAGTGTACCTGGGCTTTCTCTGTTTTCATTCAAAATGGTTTAGCCAGTCATAGTAAATATCAAATAAATATAAGTAAAGGTCTGAAAGGTAACACAGTTTGGGCTGACCAAGCAAGCATCCTTGGTAGAGCTGTCTTAGATTTTCCTTCTTCTCCTTGTGTGTTGTTAAATAAACATGGATGCTGAGCTTTGTTATGAGTGAAATGCTAGGAATTTTAGCATTTTTTCCCCTAAGGTGGTGATTTCTCATGGAGATGTTTATAATGATGCTGATGTATGTTGCTCTGAAAAATATGTCATGGCTTTTTCCTGGTGTGTTAAAAATAATTATGCTTATGCATTTCAAGAAAGCATTAGGCAGTAACAAGTCCTAGTACTTAAGAGCTGGTTCATGCTAACCCAGTTCTCATTAAAACACCAAATAACTTGAAACAAATCATAATAAATCCTAACGAGGCAAAGAACTTTGGTCTCTTAAAGTGGTTGGCATACTATCAAATTACAGTGAAATCATCCCTGTGGAAGAAATCTTTCATAGCTGTATGAAATACCAGATAAAATAAATGATCTTTGAAGCTGTCTGTAACTTGAAAAGGATGTGAGCCCAGTCTCAGTGCTGACTGACTGTTTTCCCCACCTCAGCTCTGCTCCATCGAGGTGACCTGCGAATCTGCCAGCGTGATGGCGGCAACCCTGGCCAATGGTGGCTTCTGCCCCATCACCGGCGAGAGAGTGCTGAGCCCTGAAGCCGTGCGGAACACGCTGAGTCTGATGCATTCCTGTGGCATGTATGACTTCTCAGGGCAGTTTGCTTTCCACGTAAGTGCTGACCAGTCTTAACTTTCTCCAGCACGAAACTAGTCTGGACCAGTTCTTTTCAAAATGCAGTTTGAACTTGAACTTTGCTCTTCAAGCTGTTATGAATTCTTGAAAGAGAGGCTTATTTTAAAGTTAATTTGTTACAAATTGGTAGGAATAGAGTTAAATTGTCTATCAGATGTCCGTGAGAACTTGGAAGTCTGAATTATATGGAAACTGTTGTTGAGGCTTTCAGCGTTCAAGATGAGTATAGACTGCTTTTACAAAGTGTGAATATTCAGCATTATGGGGGTTGCATACTTCAAAAATCCTTCTGGATCTGAAAGAGGGCATAGTTTCAAAAGACTGTAAAGTTTAGTTAATACTTAAAAAGGTACATCTAGTTCGGGCATGCATTTGTGGCTTGTTGCGTGAACAATCTCGGTCTGTTTTCCTTTTAGCCTGTTCGTGCCGTATCATGATGCCCCTTAAAACTTGTCTCACGTTAGAAATTTTCAAGCATAGTGAACTTGGAAATAATTACAGATTTATGACAAACCTTGTTTTGTCTGTGTACACACTTAACAGTGTACCATTGTTATATAAAACTGACATAAAACACTTGAATTTTTGTTTTATTTAAAACACTAATCATTAATATCAGCATTACATTTAATATCAACATATTTAACATATCTCCTGGATTATTTTATAAATTATGGTTATTTTATAGCTTTATGATTCAGGGTGCTATAAAAACGTACATTGTGATTGGTGTCTCTTTTAATCTCCAACTCTTCCCTCAACCTATTTTTCTTCCTGAAAACACTATGACTTCTATCTCGTTTAATTTCTTTTGCTGATTACATAGGATTTTGTTGTTCTTTGAATTTTTCCTGTAAATTGTTAGATCCAAATCAAGTGGGATTTTTTTGTTTGTTTGCTTACGAAGTTTTGTGCAATACTGCATCATTGGCTTACATTTGTCAGGAAGTACCTCAGAGCCATGCTGAGTTGGTGCATACCTGTAATCTCAGCACTCCAGAAGGCTGAGGCAGGAGGATTGCAAATTTGAGCCCTATCTAGGCTGTTTAGCAAGATACTGCCTCAAAATTTAAAAAAGGGAGGGAGGGAGAGAGAGAGAGAGAGAGAGAGCGCACACGAGAGCGAGAGCGAGCAAGCACGCGCGTGCTCATGTCTGAATGTCAGCCACTAATGAACACCAGCCATCCCGAGGGTACTGACTGCCTTTCATCATAGTTGCCAAGGTCTGCATAATGTAATCTCGTTTAAAGCGTGTTGACTTGAATTACTATTTGTCTTACTGCTGAGAGCCTTTTCAGATAGTACAGTATGCCTAGGAAATCTTTTAAGAACATGTAGTTTCTCATTGTTTACTAGTTGGAAATATTTTTGAAAAATCACTTTATATATAAAAGCAGTACTTTGGTGTAAGTACCTGCCTGGCACGCACAAGGTCATGAGTTCTATCCCTGGTCCCCCAGCCCCACCCCAAAAAAAGGCAATACGTGCATATTTTTAGAACAGTTAGAAAATTATTCAAGAATAAGATGATAAAAATCCACAGCCACACAGTTTAAATGTAACTACTTTAACAGCTTAAGACTGTGTCTTTCAAACTTTTTTTCTATATTCTAATATATCCAAAAACTGTTTTATAGCTTGTCCTTTGTGTTTATATTAAAAACAAGTTGATAAATATTTACCTACTTTTTTTTTTGGCTGAAATTCTCTTGTATATATTGTCATGATCTTTTTAGCCAATTCTCTGATGATTGAACGTGACAGTCTGTATTTTAAAATGTTGACACGAATCTCCATTTTACCGAATTATTTTTAGGTTGGTCTTCCTGCAAAATCTGGAGTTGCTGGAGGCATTCTTTTAGTTGTCCCCAATGTCATGGGCATGATGTGCTGGTCTCCTCCCCTGGACAAGATGGGCAACAGTGTTAAAGGAATTCACTTCTGTCATGTAAGCATACGATCTTAATGACAGTAAGGACCATAGAAACTGAGGCAGCCACTGATTCTTTGTCACCTATTTTCTGTAGTTCACTGACTTGGTGCTCCCTCTGCCTACAGTGTGCTAGTTACTGGATACCAGGGAGAACCTCACAGAGGAACTATAGGCAGTTCCCGTTTAATTGTTCTCACAAAGTATTCCATTTGCTTGATGTTTATATTTTAATTTTCATGGTTGCAATTAATTTGGTTTTCAAAACCAACAAAAAATAGAGAAATAATATAAAATCAAAGCATTTTAAGAATTATAGTTTATTATATCATCTTTAATATGAATATTTTAATATATTTACTACCTTTAAAAATCTTTAAGGAAATATGCAAATAAAATTTAAAAATTTGTTACTTTTGATTAATTCAGTTGTCATCCCAGTTCTTTAGTATTTCAGCTTCTGATTTTTTTTACATTTATTGCTTCCCAGTGTCTATATTAAGTAGTGCCATAATGTTTCCTGCAGACTTTTTCAATTAAAATTCTGATTTTTTTTTTAATCTTTCGTATTTTACAAAAGTTAGAGAATGACATTGGCTTGTATATAAAGGAAATCATGAAAGATCATAACCACCTTACTTACGTTTTACAGTACTATTTATTTCATAGATGAATTCCGCCATGTAGCTTGTTACTGTAGAGAATTTGAGTGGCTGCGCCTGGAGTCTTGCTCATCAGAAATGTTCTGACAGCTTGCATTTGTACCTTACTCAGATTTCAGTCCTGATGCAGTGTGAGCTTGATGAGCATGCAGTGGTGGTTTCTGTGAGATAATAATTAATCTGGATAGTAATTAGCTTAGTTTATTAAAATGTAAGCACATTGTAACTGAATAGCTAATATCTTACACCTGTTCCCTATAACTTTTTATAGGATCTTGTTTCTTTGTGTAATTTCCATAACTATGATAATTTGAGACACTTTGCAAAAAAACTTGATCCTCGAAGAGAAGGTGGTGATCAAAGGGTAAGCCAAATTCTTTCTTAGTTTATTCTGCAGCTTTCTTTTAAGAGAGTGTTGGGTGTTTAAGTAAAATTTAAGTTTGTTAGTCATCTCATGTTTTTGCCTGTCATGAAAAAGTGTAAACAAACTGATACTTTAATTCTGGATCACTAACACAAAGGTATTAGATACTGTTTTGTTATTTAAATTGGCAATAGATAGCCTAAGGGCAGCAGCTGTTTTCTGCTGCTTTAAGCAAGTTTTAGAATTGATTCTGTTGAAAGAATACATTAGAAAGTGCTACATGTTAAATTACAAAGAAAGCCTTATTTTTACTCATAATATTTGTAGTGACAGTTTTTACTTGAAATGTGTTTAAACATATTGCCACTTCGTAGATGGATGAGTATATAAATGGGAAGGTATTCCCATATTAACGACAAACTTTATGAAGCCCCCAAAGAAGTTTTATAGGCTATTGAAGATGAAATACGTTTTCTAAATAAGTGTCTAATGCAACATTCCTCATACTCTTAAAATACTCTATTATATTATCCCTGTGTTTGGCTTCATATTATTATACCTACATATGCATACATTTATATGTATTTTGGGAGCTATTTTCACCGGACCAGGGGGCTTGTGTTAAGAATGTTAATTCCTTTCTATCCATGTGGAAACTTTTTATACTAAGATTACTTGTTTAAGCTCTGATGCACTTGTAAGTAGTGAATACTTTGAATACATACTGAGTAAATTTTTGTTAGTGCCAAACTAAAAGTTTTATGTTTGGTCAATGAAAGTAACTCATGGTAACATCAGAGGATTTTGCAAAGCTAGCAGAGTAGAAACTGTGGTGGGCATCAGCCTGAGTAACGCGGAGCAAGATACCAGACCACAGTGGGTGAAAATGTTACCGGATTGTAATAACGTTCATTGACAAATACCATGTTGTAGCTTGGACCTTTCTTCACACAAGTGCACTAATAAATTGTGTATGTTGCTTGAACAACTAGCATTCCTTTGGACCATTGGACTATGAAAGTCTCCAACAAGAACTTGCTTTAAAAGAGACAGTATGGAAAAAAGTGTCACCTGAGTCAAACGAGGACATCTCTACAACTGTAGTGTATAGAATGGAAAGTCTGGGAGAAAAAAGCTAAAGAAATGGCCCTAGTTTCAGATGCTCTTCATTTAACCTTCCAGCAATCATCTGAGCTTTTTTGAAGTATTTATTTGATTTTTTGTGTGTGTGTACGCGTGTGTTTTCAACTGCAGGTGCTGGAACCACAAAACTTTTTTTTCCCTTATAATTTTGTATGAAGATAATAGATTTAAAATGGATTTGTTGGTATTTAAAAGAGTATTTACAAGTTATGACACAAGTTTATTTTTTAAAAATGCTAAAAGAAAAATCAGAAAAATTTCTTCATGTAATTAAAATTTTAAGTGTATAGTCACATAATCCCATCGCCAAAACTTCTTCACAAATTGAATTTATAAGTTTTGTTGCAATTTTTTTCCACTTTTAACACCAACATGATGTTGATAGTGACAATAGACAGTGCTTATATGCTAAATACAGAACTAGAAAGGGGCAAAATACAGTGGTTCCTTGGTTCATGAACGCTTTTGTTTGCAAACGGTTTGGTTCTCAAACAAGTGTTGAGTGCTGCAGTTTGGGTTTTGTTTGGGAACTTCAGGTCAGGTGACATATACAGATGGCCATCTTTCCCAGGACCATGGGACAGATTAAGTTCATCCACCAAGGTACCACTGCATTGAATCTCAAATTATTTTATTTAAAATAGCTGATTATAAGTTTAGCTTAAGTTAACATGTATGTCATTTTTAGTGATAGAATGGCTTTAAATGTTTAAAAATTTATTTAAAATGTTATCAAACTTTGAAGTAGGTCTTCTTGCTTCTTCATGGTGCACCTCTAGTTCTGTTGGAATTACTGTGCACAGGAATATCAACGTGACTGAAACATTCCAGCCAGAGAGTTTCAGGTGCGAGACAATGGAACGTCTCCTTGTTAAACAGCTATCATGGTTAGTTAACCATTGGTTAGGAGAGACAGGGAGTATCTGAAGTATGGGTTTTCTTTTCATATTACCCACATGGCTTTTTCTGTTATATTTAAGTATGAATGGGAAATTTTGATTTTTTTTTAGGTTTTAATAATTTTATTACCCTAATAATTTCATAAATACTAATGAATATTTCTTTTGTGATAAATTATAACAACATTTCTTCTATTTAAACTTAATAGAGAATTTAGGAAATGAGTTTAGTATACTCCCTAAAATATCTGTTAGATCTGATTCCTTTTGCTTGGTTATAAAAATGCAATATTGAGAATCAAAACTTGTTTTTAAAAGGAGAACCATAGGTTCTACATAATCTTATTTCAAGTAATTATGCACAGTATTTTGAAAATCTGTCTTGGCAAAGTGATTGTAAAGTCCTGTAGGACCTATTCACACTTCTTCCTCCATGTGGCCCCTCCTGGGGTCTGGCCCCCCCCCCCATACTGGTGTGTATGTGGGAGGCCACTTCTGTAGGGGAAAGGCCAGAGTGGCAGGGGAGACCTTGCGGCCTGTGTTCTAGGCCAGTGCAGATGGAGATGGGAGAACCTTATTCACGTGCTGTCTTGAGTTGGTGGACTATTAAGGAAAAGTTCCCTCCCACAGGTGCGGGTCAGCCGCCTCTGGGGCTGACTCTTGTGTTAAATTTAAATACTTAAGCCATTAACTTTTAGAAGATTTTACCAGGGACCTTATTTTTATCAGCCATCCCTGATGGTCAGTTGCATGTCCTACCCTCGTGGTCTCAAGGATTTGCCACCTCTGCACCTGTGAATGGTGTCACTTTCCCTTGGTTCCTCCAGAGCCATTTGCCAATCACTTACTTGAATGCCTTGAGAAAAGACCTTATCTCCCCCATGCTCACACTTGTTGTATTTTGCTATTTCATTCAGAGATGGGACTGTCTTTATAAAATAAAGATTTTCACATTGTGTGCGTATTAGTACAGATTTCAAAAGTAGATTACTTGTGACACTTCATGTCATACACAGCTGTGACAGCTGAGTTGCACACTTGGAAGGAAGGGTGGTTACCAGCTGCTGTGTTTAGAGAATGTTGTTAAGAACAAGCATCTAGAAATTTCTATAGAAAGGTGTAAACAGGAGGAGAGGTAAGATTGTGAATAGGCCTGCAACAAGAAAAAACTTTGCCACTTTTAAGGACATATTTTGATTCCGTCAGTATTCCTAACTCTTTTCAAATAAAGTTATTGAAAAGTACCCAGTATTGTTGGGTTTGATGTTGTGTGCCATTACTGATTCTTGATATTCAAGCATTTACAAGATAGCATATTTGTTTTTCTTTTTTTTCTTTTTTTCCCACATCATTAACATTTCATTTGAAATGCATATTCTTCCTAAAATACTTCGTTTCTAGCATAAATGTTGTGCATTTTATCTTAGTGTTTGCATTGAAACATTGTGTTGTTTAGCTTTCTTTCATTTGCTTTGTATATTTAATAATGTACCTTTATTTTCCAGTTTGCCTACTTTTTGTATTGTACAATAAATTTATTTTAAGCTGATTTCATTGTTTTTTGTTTTTATAAAAGCAACTCTAGCCTTTTAAGTATGTAGTTGAGATTTTAACTTAGAAATTTATTTTTCTTGAAGATACTTTTCAGTGTTTTATTTGTAGGTTTTCTCAAAGCGAAACTAGAAATACTGGAAAGGGATTCATTTGATTGATTGTTTGTTTGTTGTATTTATTTATTTATTTTGGCATGGTGCAGCATTGGTGGATTTTTTAGGGGGAAAGTTGTTTCCTATCGGTTATAGCATTATTTGAATAAAAAGACTTTTTCCAATTATTAGTTTTCTACTTGATAACTTACAAAAAGGCAGTTCTGTTTTGTGAGGGAGAATATGATTGATATTCACTGTGTGACTCTTAACTGTTGTTGCCCTAACAGTAGGAAAACATGATTAAATTGAATGTCATAGCAATGATTTAGCATAAAATTTTCTCAATTTATATTGAGTGGAACGATAAAAAGTCACCTTCATTGCTTTCTTAAGGGATTTAATTTTCAGAAGAAACTTGGTTTTTTTTTCCTGCAACCTTGTCCTACAGTTCTCTATTTGATTAAATCTACCATTCGCATTCTAGAGATTTCTCAAATATACTGTTTTAAACTTTGAAAGGGGAAATACTATTATGTAGATTACTAGGGAGTGTCAGCATATATTCTGAAATATTTCAGCACATGTATAACAGTGTGTGATCACTTACGTTTTTCTTAAAACGTCTTGGAAGCAAAGAGAAAGCCTTAAGTGCTTGGTGCTCTGTATCTGACAGTGGCATTTCACAGACGTGTGTGTATGGGAACTGCGGACACACTGATGGCTGTGTAATGCATGTGAAGGTGCCTGCATATTTATTTTACCCCTCTACTAAATCTAGCCATGCTTTCCGCATAGTATATTATGTGCAGGTGGTTCCAGGCTTTGCCGTAAAGAACTTGAAAATTTTTTTGCTGTCCCAAAATACATATTAAAAAATTCTACTTAAACTTGACTTAGAGGATTCGTTGTTGCTGTTCCCGTTCCTTTTTTTTTTTTTTTTTTGCTACTGGGGATCAAACTCAAAAACCTTACTCTTGCTGGGCAGGCGAGGCAGGCACTCGTGCTGCTGAGCTAAATCCCAGCCCTCCCATTTTACTCTTGCAGCACTGTCAGGGTAAAAAAGTACTTAGTGTTACAGAGGAGCGCCCAAAAAGAAAAGACAGTGATACCTGGTTGCATGTAAGGCCTGATTTTAAAACATTTCCCAGTATTTATTATAAAGAATTATGTTCAGTTTAAAGCAAGTAATGTATTTCTCAGATTGGGAATTTACTTTGTGGAATGTTTTCCCCACAGTGCTAGGGATTGCCGCCAACACCTTTGCACTGAGTAACATCCTCAGCAACACCTGTGTTTATTTTTCATGTTG